CGTCAAATCTTACGCCTGCTACTGGTTTCCATAGAAGAAAATTATTCCCACTGGAAGCAAGAGAACAGCTTACACGGCTGTCTGCCTAGACTCTCAGCTCCACCAAGGAAAACGTAGACAATTAAGCTAGGCATTTTAGAGAACGGCTAACGCAGGCTTCCAGTTGACTAAGGTGACATAATTCCTTCTGTTTTCAAGTCGGAGTTCAGAGGACATCGTCCTGACTTTTGCCGATACAGATAGAGACCCAAGTCTCTGTTAATTTTTTTGTTATTCACTCAACAGTTTTTTTTTCTTCGCATTTTTGAGAAAACCCGCGGCCGGGGAGCATAATTGCCGCTCCCCGCCGGAAGCACTGCTCGATGCCGACTAAATCTTTTCCTTTCTCCTTCGCAACACCCACAAGTTTTTTCTCAGTCTCCGTCAACAAGTCCGTCAAGCCCGAAAATCAGCGAATCCAAGCAGTGAGTGCCTCAGCGAGTCCAGAGTAAGTGTGTAAGAGAGTCTCGCCTCTTAACCAAAACGCGGCCGGGGAGCATATTTGCCGCTCCCCGCCGGAAAACATTTTTCATCGTAATTACATCTTCTCTCTCGCTTTTTCAACCTGTTTTTCAAGAGTAACATCCACAAGTCCAGCCAACCAGTAAGTCAGCGAGTCCAAGAGTGAGTGAGTCGCCTCTTAACCCAAAACGCGGCCGGGGAGCATTTTTGCCGCTCCCCGCCGGAAAACATCTCTCGTAGTCAATTACATTTATCTCCTTCAAGCCAGTTTTCAAGAGCAACGTCCACTAGTCCAGCCAGCTCAAAAATCAGTGAGTCAGAGAGTGAGCCAAAAAGTGAATCCAACTCGAATTTTCCTTCGTCTCCTTCACAACCCGGGCTCCCACTATGGCTTCACTTATCGCCCCCTTAATTATGGCAAAATCTTCGTTTTCAACTCCAGAATGCGGAAATAAGGGTGATCGCGCATGCGCGCCCTTCTTCACTTAGCCAACAACCGGACCCTCAATCGCCAAAAACCTGAATGACTTACATTGAAAGACAAGTAGCAACCTTTGACCTTTCCGTCACGTACTTTCCTCTCTTAAGGTCAACTAACAATGAAAATTCTTTCTCGAACATTCTAAAGCGCGCGAAATCATGACTTGGCAAAAATTGCCTCCCTTTCCCTGCTTCTTTCACAATGAATAAAAGTTTGTACAAGATTTACAAATAAAAGAAAATAAATAATATTCATTTAAACTAAATAATATTTCCAGAAGCATCTGTTTTTCCCCAAAATTAAAGCCTTAAAATAAATAATTCATAATCAAATAAAAATTAAGATTTCCATAAATCATAAAATCATTCACCTAATTTTTATAACGCTATCCGGTAATTTCTCTACATAACACTCCTTAGCAAGCTCTCGAGTGGTTGTATACTGATCTTCCTCCACAAGTTCTCAGATTCTTAGGTAGCCGTAGGCCACGAAGCAAGAGTTCCTGGGCTGGAGCCCTATCCCAGGCTGTAGCTGTGTTTTCACAACAGATCTGGAAGTAAATCTGGCAGTGTGATAGTTCCATTTCAGACACCTTGGACCATTTCAGCCGTCTTAATGATAACGATATTTTTTTACAAATTTCACAGCACAGTGCTCTAATCAATCTCTTCCTTTCAAATACCAAAAATCGTTTGACAAAAAATGTGATTAAGCACGCCAACGCGAAATGTTTGTCCAGACAATATTTGCGGTGGCGGGAAATTCTCATTAAAAGCCGATACATTTATTTTTCAATGTAAAAATAATCTACATGCCATAATTCTAACCTAAATATAAATAATATAAAAATAAAGAATAATTTTGTTAATATTTAATTAAATTATTTTGTATGCTGGGAGTGTAAAAGAATTACTCATAAATGAGATGTAATGTATTAAAGGCAAATGAAAACAAGCTAATCATATAGGCATTTTTTAAAATTTATGTAATCTAAACGATATATTTAGAGTGTAATTTTTAAAAAGTAAAGCTTAATTTTTTAATATTTATGTTATAGGAAATTTTGAATGTATTTCTGATAATAACAGTGATAAGAATCCTTCAATCAAATAATTTATTTGTTAAGGATTTTTAAAAGAAAATGTTAATACTATTCGAAAAAATCAATAATTACACTTGATGTATAGAATGAAAATAAATACAAATAATTACACTTATTTGAAAGTAAGTAATAATAAAATAACTTATTAAATATCCCTCACTTGTGTTTCCGTGCAGCAAAAAATACGTTCGATCATTTAGCACCGCTTCGTCCCACCAATGACCGTGCGGTTAAAAACCACCCTTCTAATTTTTTTAAAATTTAAAAGCATTAAATGTCTCGCTGTAACGAAAGTTTCCCGCCAAAAAACGTAACGAAAGTTTTCCGGCTACTTATTTGGATTTTCTGATTTTCTTCATGTGTAAGTCAGTTTCCCACAGAAATTCCGCCACGTAGGGTTCACTCTTCTTAGGCAGACAGCCGTCGTGTGTTTTGCCTTATTCAAATAACCTAACCTTTCATTATCGCATCTAACAATCTGGGGGAGGGGGGGACTTTCAGATTCATACGGATCAAAAGGCCGTGGTTTTTTTTTTTTTTTTTTTTTTTTTTTTTTTTTTAACGCTTTGTGTGTTACTTTTATTTATTAAATATCATGTTCTTTGCACTTAAACTATGAAATTAAATTCAACAGCAATATCACAAAATATTTAAAAGAGTACATCTTTAGAATTTCCGATACACAGTCTCGCGCGCTGGAGATATTTTTTTTTCCCTCTCCCCGTATAATGTTGCCATTGCTCGCTTCGAAATCGTTGAGTTTGCTAATAAAAAATTCGTTACAAAATATAAAATAGATAATAAAACAAATTCCAAATTTCGGCTTCCAGATGCCCATATTCGGTTGGAAACGTACGTTAATCAGAATTTGATGGCTGTGAATATAATTCAAAATTTGATAGAAATGGATAATTAAAACAAATTCCAAATTTTGGCTTCCAGAGGCCCATATTCGGGTGGAAATGTACGCTCTTCAAAATATCATGGATACCGTTTTTTTATCACAATGCGAGAAACATACATATATTTATGCAGATACTTCAGTATTTAATTTCTTTAAATGTAATGCAGGGCTCTAATATTTGGTGGCAACAATTTGAAAAGTGAACCGACATTTATAGTGAATCAACGCAAAATGCCATAACGAAATTAATAGCCTTGGGCAAATTGCCCCTTTGGACTATATATATATATATATAAATAAATATATATAATAAAAAAAAAAGAAAAAAGAAAGAAAGAGCAAATGATACTTTCGCATAAGAATATGAGAATTAAGATGGCAGTTTTATAAACACAGCGGCGCCATGAGGTAACATTAAATAAATTTCATTCATGAAAATTAAATCATATTTAGCGTAAGCAGTTAGCCTATTTTTTAAACACCTGGTAGGGAACCACTTTAGGGTGTTTATTCTTTTCACTTCGCGGATTTGGTGTTTTCTCAGAAAAGAAATTGTTGCCTATTGTTGCAAGGAATATTAAAAAATATAATTGCAAGCTCAAGCTATCCAGTGAAATTATTTTCTTTATTAAATAAGGGCACAAGTCTCTACGTAGGGTTAATTTAAAGGTAAAATAATATTGTAACATCCTTTCCCTACCGTTTCACTTTTTAGAACAGCTTGATCTGTATCTTTAATCTCTGAAGACCTAATTCTTATAGTAGGCCTATCGTAACTGCTTCTTTTAAAATTGTTTCGAGTGTAACTATATACCAAGATTAGACAACAACTTCTTTGAATCTTATCTTTTTTTTTTTTTTTTTTGTCTCCTAATATGCATTTTTTAAACGTTTTGAAACACTGATGGTAAAGTTCTTCGAGATGTTGGATTGTAATTTGAAGGGTTTTTTTTTGGGGGGGGGGTAATGTTATAATGCGTAAATGGTGGAATCATGTTTATCAAAGTTTAGCTATGTTTATGCACCTAAAAATAATACTAAAGCAACATTAGTGCTTTAAACAGATACAATTTAAAAAAAAAAAAAGAAATTTGGATTTAAACTAAAAAAATATTTATTTATTTATTATTATTATAGTAATTATAAACATATAATTTCTTTAATTATTGAAGAGTGCGGAAGCAACATTTAAGCCTTTAACGTATCACTGCAAATTTTTTAAATCGAATTATCGCTAAAGGGACACGGGGAAACGCTACGTTCCCAATCCCCAACTATCACTAAAGTTGTTTTGCATAGCAGTCCAACCGGTTCTCATGACATAAATAGCAGTTGTTTTCCCCACACTGCAGAAAATCACCTTTTTCCTAAAACAGAATTTCATCATAAATCGAAGAAATAGAAATTTAGAATCGTTTTACCAAAAAAAGCTGACGTTTAGAGAAAACGCGGGAAAATTTCAATAGATTTGGAAGGGGGGGAGGCAAAATAAAATACTACAGACCAGCTGTATTATTCATTTGTTTGCGTTATCACGTACCTGAAACGCTTGAGTAGTCACATGTCACTGGCGACAGAATTGTACATTTAAGTTCTGTTTGAAGAAAGAAGTTATTTAAGACTGAGAATTTGATAGGGAATAAATTGTAAATATTTAAGACTAATTTTTTCGTTTTATTCAGTGTGGTTGGGCGGTGTTGTTTGTGTTAGAAATTCTTTGTGACCCGCCTGTACGTCCACGCCTACTGCATTGGCGGTCCCCGATATAGTACATGTACCTCCCTGAAAATTCCCACGTTCCATTTTTTTAAAAGCAATAAAATATCATCTAAAATAGTTTTAACAGAAGTTGTGTAGCGCTATGAGATAAATTGGAAAATAATTTATTAATTGAAATCAAAAAGTAGTAGAGAAAAGAGGAGATATTTTTTGGCACTATTTATAGTCGCGCAAGCATTTTTCTCCCCGAGGGCAGTACTACTTGACACGTATTTCGACTTGATATCACTCCGCGGGTAGGTAGTCGTCGCCATTGCTGCTCGACTCCTGCCGTAGCGCTATTAGAATTTCCGATGTTTTAAAGTGAAATGACAAGTGTGGCGTCGCGAAAACAACAGCAAGAATACGTTATACCGACGAGCAACTCACAGGTAAGTCCATATAACTTTTAAAAAATTGTATATACGCTCCACCTATTACTAAGCAAACCAAGATGGCGATTGTTATGCCAGTCCCATTTTCACACCCCTTTCTTCTTTTGACCCCGCCTATGTAGGACATCCAGCCGTCCCCGTTGGCGCTCCTGGCCGCTACTTGCAGCAAGATCGGGTCACCAACAGACGAGGGTGGTTCCCAGGGTGCGTCCCCTGTCAAAGTTGTGGGTCCTAATCAAGTTATTCAGTCCGGAGAAATCATAGCCACGGCTACCGGAACCCACATTGTTCCCTTTCAACCGCAGACAGTCGGCGTATTGAATCCGGACGGAACCGTTACACAGGTCACGGGTGTCAACCAGCAGACTAGTGCAGCCACAAATGTCCATGTGTCGGGCAACGTGGCTGCTCTTAAGAGCATTCCCACCGTAGCTACAGCTCAGAATGTAGCGTCAGTTAACGGCCAAGTGTTTCCTCAAGGAGCACAAATTGTGGCCGGCACTCCTGGCAATATTACCTACAATGTGATTCCAGCTCAACAGATCCAAAATATACAAATCGACGGACAAGATGCAATCTATATACCTGCTGTTCCACAGACTTTTCAGATAGCTGGAAATCAAACAATATTGGCACCAAATGGCCAAACATTTCTTCGTGCTCAAGGAGTGCAAGTGCCGACATCCGTCCAGAATGGTGCACAAACAGTCCTGCATGGTATGGCAGGTGTTGCTCAGCTTGGAGGACAGAATGTTACCATACGACAGGGTAATGTTGTCCAAGCCTTGCAGCTTCCAATACCGATACAACAAACCATGCCAATTCAAGTGCCTGTATCTACTGCTGGAGGACATACTATTTTACAGACGATTCATATTCCTGTTCAGTCAATACAGGGTGTTCCGGGAACTAATGTTTTACAGTCTCAAGGACAACCTATTACACTGAATGTTCCAGCACACATGCTGTCTCAAATAGCATCACAAATGGGACCTATCACACAAGTAAGAATTTTTAATATTACATTAATCTTTTGTGTGATCTTAATTGGTAACTTTTCTTTTGCTAGCTCTTTTGTTTGTTGAAGAAATGTTTTATGTGTTGAATTGAACTAACAGTACTGTCAGTTACAAAATTTGTATTTTAAATTAACTCATATCTGATACTAGTATTTATTTCTGTTTTAACTGAGATTGTGTGTTTAAAATTTTGATTGCAGTTTTAAATGCTACATTGTTAAAAGAAGCATTTCAATATTTACTAAACAATAACTCAAAAAACTTTATTTCCTTAAAATTTGCCAATGTAGTAGAATCCTGCATTTTGACCACAATGCATTAATGTGATATTTTTTTATAATTTTAAAATTAAATTTCAGTTAAAAGTTTTTAGTGTTGTAAAGATTATGCATATCTTAGAGCAGCATTTAAGTCACAGTTCATGAAAAGTAATTGCTCACCAGAAATGTGCCAGCATTTTTTACGCTGATGGCTTAACATATGTTGCTGTTGCATGTGATAAATTAAAGTTACTTTTTAATTCCAAAAGATATAAGAAAGAACTAATTGCTCACCAGAAATGTGCCAGCATTTTTAATGCTCATAACTTAACATATGCTGCTGTTGCATGTGATAAATTTCATTACTTTTAATTCCAAAAGATATAAGAAAGAACTATGAATGAAATGTTCTTAAACCTAACAGTAAGCTAATTTTTTTATTACCATTGCTTGTATAGTATCTAGTTCAATAGAAGTATTAAACAATTTCAAATAGTATAGTATTTAAGACATTTACCTAAAAGTTTTGTTGTTATTTTATTTTTGTATGCATGATGTGGGGTGGAGGGTACTTATTAATATACCTACTTTTAAAAAGATACTATGAAGGGAGAATATTTGTGAAATACCTTAAATTTACTCTCAGATAAGTATACATTATAGAAATCCACTTGAAAAAAACTTCCTGTAATGTTGAATATTTGACTGAAATAATAGAATCCATTTGAAAATTCATACCTGAGTTTGATGTCAGATGAGAATAGAATAATAAATATTTAGAATTGCAGTCGGTATTTTCTGGAGTATAGAAAGCAAAACTTCCTTATAAGTAGTGTTGCTGTAATTACCAAGCATTGATAATGGATGTTTAGGTGCTAAATAATAATAATTTTGAGAAAAGTGAGTAGATAATAGTTTATGTTATTCTGATAAAAAGTCAGTCAAGCAATCTAATAAATGAACATGTAGAGTAATAAAAAAGAAGCAAGCTAATTCTAGCCGAGTCATATTTTGTGCTGATTTTACTTCCATAACTGTATCCTTTTCTTCTTTCACATAATTATAAAATTGGTCTCAAGCCATTTTAAAATTATAATGACAAAGGAAAATTCCTTCAACTGTTGATTTGACATTAGGGAAAATATCCTCTTGGCATTTGCATTGTGGGCTGGAATGGTAAATAAGTATTATCTTTATTAGGTATTACTTCTGATCAATGTTCTTTGTATTTTCAAAAAAACTTCTTTGTATGTGCAAAGAACACTTCCATACTCAATTTCTTATAGCTACACAGTTTTGGTAATCTTGTAGACGTACCAAACTGATTGAACAGAATCTCAGTGTTCACAGTAGAGTTTCAGTATAAGCTTTCAATAGTTATGGCGCTGCCTTGCGGCTGCTGTCTGATGCAGAGTTTACTAAGAAAACATGACGGATAATAATAAGGGACTGTGTAGGGAAATACGGTGACAATCCCGCATATATGGGATGTATGGCAACTCTACTTACAGGACAACATACCAGACATCTGTAAAAAGATTATCTACTTGTTTTATACTGTGGTATTAATTGTATTGTATTTGATTCTTATTGGTGTAAATTTATGTGGGAATGCTAACAAAGAAATTTAAAAATAAATACTCTTTGAAAAATCCCAACAAACATAGTTGCCTATTGTCCATCTTTAAATTGATTAAATAATTTCTTATTACAGTGCTTCTGTTTTCAAAGTAAGTATTGTCAGTAAAAAATTTAAAAGCGTTTCATTCTGTTCTAGATCTTTTTTGTTATAACTAACGAACATATTTCTTATGTTTGCTATATTTATAATGGAATAGATCATTGAATCAATATAGCATTCTCAGAGCTATCTGATGAAATTGCAATCAATCTCTTAAATTCCATAGTTAAATAAATAGCTTTAGCATGACTAAAGTTTCAGATTGAATTTACATGTTTGCTTTTTATGTGAGGTAGTCATAGTTTCAATTTAATTTTAAATATTGTTAGTGTTCAAAGCATTATTTATTGTTTGCTTTTGGCCTAAAAATTATAGATTCAGGTCAAATAAGCATTGGACATGCTTCTCTAAAAACTTACTATTGATTCATTGTATAATGTATAATTTTTGATTTTTAATACATTCATGAATAATATTTGATTAAAATTATTTATAAGAGACAATTTTGGAGAGTTTTTTTCTAAAGATCACCTAAACAGTTGGTATTTATTGTAGCTCTGCTGACATTATCACCACTTTAAGAAAAACCAATTAAAAATATAATTTAAAATGAAAAACTGCTGATTAAAAAATGCAACAATGCAAAAAGGATATATTAAACCGGTTGATCTTTACATTATGGTAACTTGGCGATTTTTTGGCGAAAATTTGGCAACCAACTCTCCTACAGCAACCCTCTATTTTTTTTTCCCAGGCGCCATTTTGTCTTCACGAAGTAAAGACATGTTTCTTTTCTTTTTATCTACTGAACACTTCTTCCAACAATCTAGTAGCCGAATTACACTTATGCTAGAAATTTTATCAAACAAAACTGCTTAATCATGACAAATATTCACTGCAAAATTGGGAAAAAGTGCACAATACCATACTCCTTACGCGTTTTTCAAAATAACACATACACATAAACCATGTACACGTCGACTTATTTTTACTTAAAAAAACATCCCAGAATTGCACAAAAATGGCATTGCGCACACTCTTCACTATATCCATGTACACTGCTTTTTTCTCATTAGAAAAATGTCACAAAAATACATGACAATTTTCTCAATCTTTAAACCCGGTAAAAAGAACATATATGAAATTACCTGATCGCGAAAAAGTATTTACCCTTTACAAATATGAACATTTCCACATATAAAATAAATAAAATATCCAAAACCTTTTACCTCTAAATCATCTATTACATTATACACGTCACCAATGAATTCATACCGCAAGCATTACAAATACTTAGTATCAAATATTTAAATTATTTCCATGCACGTTTATTTCAACTTAAATGTATACCAAATTCCTACAAACATAAAATTCACAAAATAACTATCATTTCATTAAAATATAATTAAATTCAAAAACACTACTTAAAATATAAATGAGCACATACATTAAATTAATAAAAATTACCTTACAATCCTAATTACTAATTACTTAAACTAAATCATTGCTAATAACAATTTTCCCAATAATACCAAATTCCTTTCCACCTTACATTTAGAACAATGCATAAAAATAATATCCTCAAATAATTAAAAATACTAACTAACTTACCTAATCTTCTTCAGAATCTTGATTACGTGGCGGATACACTTTTCTAATTCATTCAATAAAATTATTGAAAGATTTTTTCTTCTGCGAATTTTTCCTCCATACTACTTCCTCCGCTAAATAAAAAGCAAACTTCTCTTTATCACAATGCCTAAATACCACCCGATTTCGAATTCACTTTAGTTAGGGCCATGGGATCCAAAATTAAACAACACTGTTTCACACAACACAGAATAAAGCTAAATACAAAATTTCCACATTTTTTCCCGATTTCCCCCCTTTTTCGATTAAAGAACCGTAATTCGTCCATTAATATCACATGACATATCCCATGATCTCTCATTTCCCTCACGCAAAATAATGCGTAATCGGAACTGAGTATTGCTCACATTATTACCAAAGTCCCAGGTAGTAACCTTTATCGCCTCCAAAGTGTCGCCAAACTACCAGTTACCATATTGTAAAGATCAACCATTAAACCTTATACATAATATATGACACAAAACTGTTCTTCTTATGCACATAATGCTCTATTTTTTTTTTAGGGAAGCTTCAGGGAATTGCACAATCTTGACATTGTGAACATTAAACAACACTATATGCATTATTGTTTTTCTTTCTATATCTGTGGTTGTTTTTGTTTAAAAAAATCAAAGGATTATGCTAACTGAGTATTGTGTATATTAAACATTATAAATGTTATATGATTACTGTTGTTCTAATATACTGTTAATTCCAATTATCAAATGTATATGCTATCGTCAATGTATGAAATCCTGGCATTTTTAGGCAAACTAAGAAATATGAGAATTATTATATACTTTATTTAGGCATTTTGATATAATACATAGGCGGTAAAAGTATAGTTTAGGGTACCCCTTGGCGAAACTTGGCGATTTTTGGCAGTACATGGATACCGATTTTGTGCAATTCTTTGACTCATTATTTTGGCTTGTAAAGTGGCGATTTTTGCGCCAAATTAACAAGACAAACAATTGCACAAACTCAGTATCCATGTGCACATCGATTTATTTTCACTTATTATATAAAAAAATTTATATATAAAAATTATTTCACTTATTATATAAAAAAAATCCCGAATTGCACACTCCTTTGACTTTATCCATGTACACGTCGACCTATTTTCACTTAAAAAATAATCCCCGAATTGCACAAACTTGCATTGCGCACTCCCTTTACTTTGTCCATGTACACATCGATATATTTTCACTTAAAAAGTCAAAGGATCACCAAATTCTACAATATAGGCAAACAAAAAATACATAATCTCAATAAAATACATTTTAAAACAAACAATAAAATAACATAAAAAAGGAAAAACATGTTATACATTTAAGCACTATCAAAAGTAAATATTCACTTACCATGATTTTCGAGTTTGCTTCGTACACTCAGAGCCACGTAAAAATCAAAAT